AGCTGTTTTCCCAAAATTCCTCACTAAGAACCAAAGTATGAACAAATCACTAAATATAAAACATAGTTTGTCAAACGCCTTTATTTTGGTGATTTTTTAACAAAACAAAACATTTTGGTAACTTTAAAAGCCAGCTGTTACATTGTGAGTAATACTGATATTTAATCCGAACCAAGGTCACTCATAAAAAAATGATAACATAAAATCCCTGCCTATTTCACTTAGAAATAACAAATATAAACAGACAAAGTAAATAAAAAAAACAACACTGTGCATTTTCACTTTAGTCTTGCAATTAAATAAAAAAAATGCCTTGTTATATTCAACAGCTTTAGTTCTGAATAGGTGATATATATTTTACATTTGCTCAAAGCTAATTGGAAATAAAATAGTTTATTTTACATAAGGCTCAAAGCACAAATTTGTTACATATCCAAATCAAACGTTTGCTATTGAATGCCTAACTTACAGTAGTAAACAAGAATTTTTGCTAAAGGATTGGCAGAACAAAAACTCAGAATATAAAAAAAAATAAAAATAGAAAAAAAGGCCATCATGCATTTGGCAAAATAGCGTTTAATACTATACATACATGTAGTAAAATGAGCATGAGTATCATGCCAACTAAAACTTGTGCCTGTGCTTTAGTGTTCTGCTAAAAGAGGATGAATCACTCTTATAGGTCAGCAAGTCTCAAGTTCTAGATGTATGACCAGCAGATTTATGAAGCTCTATCCATAACATATCAATTCCCTACCACAAGGCCTTCCTTACAGCGTAGCAAGATGAATGTCCAGTTTTAGGTTCTTTGAAGGAACAAGAGGAACATGTTCTCATTCTATCTCTTGCTACTGCACAGTGTCATTGATTGCAAGAGATATTTGCACCCAGTCCTATAAAATTAGTAGTTAGTATGAGGGAAGTGGGCAGCAACCGATTTGCTAGCCCCAGGCAGCTTAAAGGAATAAACCCTCCTTGCAAGAAACTCCATTTGCATTTTGTGTTTGTTTAAAAAACAGTGATGCATCACATTTTAGCATATTTTAAGCTCTAGTGTAATCACCAAGTATTAAACAAAGGATTACATGAATTAAAGCACATTGAGATATTTTAATGCTTGTATGAAATCCAAAAAAAGAAAGAAAGAAAATAAAGAGAGGGGTACACAGAAGTATCTGAGCTTTCATCCTTGATAGTTTAATAAAGACCTCTATGATATTATCTCTATAAAGATAAAATAACTCTACCCAATCAGTTAACTAGGTTTTGCTACCAATAAAAAAGAATAAAATTTCAGATTTCTTTAAAAGAAATTGAGACATTGCACTATTACTGGACCCAGTTGTATAATACTGTGTTTACCATTCACACATGAACTGAAATACCAAAGCACAACTTTAAAATAATGACTGAACAATACAAAAAAAAATTATAGACAAAGTCAGAACAAACACATTCATTAATTTCAGAAGCGTCAGTAACACAACAATTTCATACCTCCCAACTGTCCTTAATTTGGAGAGTCAGTGTGATTTCTAAGCCGAGAAAAGTGGTAGGGCTTACTAGATCATAGATATTGCTATGTAATGGATAAATCTGGATAGCGAAAACGTCAAAAATGTTTATATATTTTAAGATGTTGGGAGGTATGTATTTCAGAGTAACATTTGTTGTGCTTATCATCATTCACTTGTTTTCTCCTATTATACTGTTTCAACATTTACATCACTGTAACACAACCTGAACCACATCTCCACGCCATCCACTGTTACACAACTATTGTGAAGTAAGGTCACATTAACAATTACCATACCATACCATACCATACCAAATGAACAGCTATTCTTTGTGATATTACGTTTTTCTTCATTCATGGGTGATTAGACCAGAGACCTGTGTCCATGAGAACATTGATAAAAAAAATCATAAAAAAGTTCTGGCTTAACAGACATGACCAATGCAGGTTCATTCTGGAAATGTCACAAATATGAGTCATGGCACAATGTGGGCAGCTTTATTTTTACATTGAAGACATAATAAAGTATTAAAACCCAGATCTGTACATGAAATTTAAATTTACAATAGCTTTTTACCATATGTAGCTGGTTGGCTTGCTTCATCTGAAATAGTGTTTTGAGTGGAAGGTTTGGGGAATCCCATTGCCAGCAATGGGGGTTGCAAAAGCACCGCTAGCATTTTTCTTGCAACATATGCATTATATTTTTCTGTAGCTATATACTTTATAAAGTACAATTTCAAAATGCTGTATTTTAGGAGCAACCTGTGTTAACCTTATTGAAATAAATAAAAGATTTATCAAACAGATTAAATATTTATTGATAGTAATGCAATTGATTATGGTGATGTTCCAAAGAATAACCATACCCAATATGGCTATATATTTTTTTTTTTAAAGCCAGTCTTGATTGGCTGTTGTGGACAATACTTTCAATTTTCATTGCATCAACTTTTATCATTATTTTTTAGTGTGTCTTGTAGAGTAGATGCAACTTTGGAGGGAAGTATTTCCACTGTATTGGAAAAGTGTTTCTCCTGTACCTTCCTATGTAAGTTTATTATTCTGCAGTCCATTGTTGCAGACAATGTACATTAATGCTTCAGTGTCAGTCCATGATACAGGTTCATTCCAGTGTTCCCATGCTCCTAAAAATATTTTATTGTATTAATCACATGGATTCATATATTCCCCTTTAATATATTGTGGTTCTTTGAAATATTTTAGCGTTTACTACCTTCCCTAAGCACAGCTTATTTGCTATAAATATACTTTACATTCATAAGTGGGCCATTTATTGCACTATTTACACCGTGTCACAACAACTGCATGTGCAAAATTTCACATAATGGAAATAGATCACTCTGGATTTTATCCCATGCCTGCACCTGAAACCACTCAGTGATATGTGTACATTTCAGAGTTCTTATATTCAGTTGTCATATTCAGCATACTGAATCTACATTCATTTGTTGAAGACATGAAGTTCTGTCTATTACAATGACTGTTTTTGATCTGACTGTCGGTCCAGAGGCCTCACCAAGGCTCGAATAAAAATAACAAAAATATGCAGCACACAAAACAGTTAATACAGACAGATGTAGTTACTCTTACACATACCATATACAACATTTGTAACTCTATTATATTTCACAATTTGTTATTAAAGTTGAATCACCTATGGATGGTGACTTTACTTCCACTGTACAGTCTAAGGTATTGTAATTTAACACTGTAACTTGCCCCATTTGATCATGCAACTGTCACAGATTGGCGAAAGTGTTTCATAAGGCATATTGGAACAAGTTAAAAATGATCTATTATCCTTGAAAACAATTCCTCGGAGGAGTTCCTGAATGCCTTAATTCCTATTTAAAGTTCATAATAACTCTGTTGGGTATATATAGGTTTATATATTTTTTTCTTTTTTTTGGCTTAAGATGTTATCACAATAGTCAGAGAATGATGGTATCCTCCAGAGATGAGAAACGAGTACACTGCACTCAGACCTACATTCAGAATTCAAGGTAAAACAGGAGGCCAAATGTTGGTAGCAGTATACCAAGAATACTGGGTAATATTCCTGCTGTGTCACCTGTAATAGAAAAAAAAACAAATGGAAATTATCTTGTTAACAACAATCCTCAGACACCAACATTCCTAAAGTACAGCATCATCTACAGTGTGGGATGGTTTTTCCATAGGAAAGAAGATTGCACCATGCATGTGTGCAAAACAAAGAGCTTGGACTGGGTGGTTTTTCCATAGGAAAGAAGATTGCACCATGCATGTGTGCAAAACAAAGAGCTTGGACTGGTTGGTTTTTCCATAGGAAAGAAGATTGCACCACGCATGTGTGCAAAACAAAGAGCTTGGACTGGTTGGTTTTTCCATAGGAAAGAAGATTGCACCATGCATGTGTGCAAAACAAAGAGCTTGGACTGGTTGGTTTTTCCATAGGAAAAAAGATTGCACCACACATGTGTGCAAAACAAAGAGCTTGGACTGGTTGGTTTTTCCATAGGAAAGAAGATTGCACCACGCATGTGTGCAAAGCGAAGAGCTTGGACTGGTTACTTTTTCCATAGGAAAGAAGATTGCACCATGCATGTGTGCAAAACAAAGAGCTTGGACTGGAGACTTTCAAAGTTCTTTTGCTCCCAGGGAGCAGCACAATGAATAAAATGAACCAATTAAATGCAAAGGAAAGTACAGAAAACTGATTTTTTTTTTGCGCATAATTGGATGATTAAAGTCAGCTCCACCTCTACTCCTCCATTCACTATGCTAAGAGAATTTTTATTTTCTGAAGAGGTGAAGCTGAATTTAATTTTAACCTTGCATATGACTGGGTATTCTTAACAAAGTGAATGTTCACTTCATTTGCTAAGCTAGGTAAATATTCACTTTGCAAAACAAACATGCTCTACGACTTTAGTAAATCAACCTCACCATCTGTATTTAGAATTATGCTGTACATCACAGTGTTAAGCATTTATTGTTGCCTTTAAAATGTTTCAAATTGTACTGCATTTTTTAAAACTAAATTTGGCTGATTTACTAAAGGAGTTGAGAATCTTCAAATAAATTGTGTGAATAGTCACTTTAATTATCTAATCATGTAAATATGAAATAAATAGAAAGGAGATTTTGACATAATTGTAAAATTGAAGTGAATATTGCCACAATTTTTATGTGCATATTCTCAGCTCCTCAGTATGTTCTGTTGTGCTGTGTTTCAACCACTTTTTTTTTTTCAATGAAAGCCTCTAGCATCATAAAGTGATCAAGAAAATGTAAGCTAGATATTTGACTTCGGCACTTCATTGTAAACAATCCTCAGTTTATTTCACACCTACTTTGCACCAACTACGATGACAGCAACATTGTCATAAAAACACTGAGCTTTTTTTTTTCAAACATATGGTGCATGTGTTCACATTTTTTTGCTGCATATTGTGAGCTTTCTAAAGCATTATTTATTTTAGGAAAGGAAAATCTTACTAGTAGACAGCTTGATGGAAGCTACAGCACCATCTCCTCCTTCACTGTGGGCCCGCACTTCCACAATATAGTCTCCTTCCTTTAGAACTGGCAGCTCTACTGAATGGTGCCCGGTTGAATACAGTTTACCATCATTTTGTCCATTTGGCCTATACAAAACCTTGAGAAAAGGAAATAATGAAGGAATTTATATAAATAAATGGAAGATCATCCTTGTCCTCTGTTATTTTGACATTCATTTCTTGTAGGTCTCAACACCAGGGCTTTTGGTGCAAAGTAAGATTTAGCTTAGTATTTATTTGCATGTCCTTGAGCCCTAACTAACCTAATCCCTGATCCTATCCTTATCCAAATTTGTACACTCATATCAACCCCAAAAATTATTTATTATTTTAACATTAAACCACTAGCTAACACTTAGCCCTTTCTCTTACCATATCCTTAGCCTAATACTTTAAATCCTTAATACTTGACCTGAATCTAAAATATAACCTGAGGCTTAACATTTTAAATTCTCAACTTTTACCCTAACATTAAATTAACCCCTGAAAACCAACGCTAACCTTTCAGTTGTTGAAACTATCGGCACCAAAGCCATACCTTTCAGCACTAACAATTACCTACAAAAACGGTCATAACTTACTTTATATCCATTGACAGCAGATTCATTGGACAATGGTGTCACATGTTCCCAAGTGATAATATACTGAGATCCAGACTTCACAGCACTAATGATTCGAGGTATCTGACTAGGAGCTAAAGAAAAAAAATGTTTTGAAAGCTGTATGTAGTTCTTCACATTGCAATAATACATTTAAAAAAATTATCCAACTGTCCATTTACATCTACAAGTCCAATTAACACTTGAGCATTTTGTAGCTGAAAGATCAAACAAGCTCAACTTCCAAAATCCCATGTGTAACAATGTTGACTGCTGTAGCTAGATGTCTGGAATTCAAACGCTACATGAGCTATTTTTGAGGCAGACTTGGACCTTTTTGGCCCCATAGACTTCAATGGGAACACCTGAAAATGCTTGAATCAAGTTTTTTTTTATTTTTTTTTTTTTTTGCGGAAGTACTTTTTAAAGCATATTTAAGGCATTTTGTGAGCCAAAAGGAACTGGTCTCCTCCCCTATTGCTTTCAATTGGATAAAACAAACATGCCTGAAGCTTAAATTCACATGTAAAACACTTGTAATGTGCTTGTTCAAAAATGCAAGTATATACTCACAAAAATACTCAAATAAAAATTCCAGAAAATCACCTTTGCCAATTTCTAAGAAGCTTCAGCAGTTTAAAGTGGTTATTTGCCCTTTTTTAAAAAGAATAAAAAAATAAAAGTACAAACACTGTAGCTGCTGAATTTTAATACAGAAACTCATATATTCAGGGATTCAGCGCTGTGCTTATCCAAACCGTTCTTTGCAGGTGTTTGAGTCCCCAGTGCTTCACAGCTGGCTGGCCACTGCACATGTGTGTTCTGTGCTACGCCTTGTGAATGGTTCTACAATCTTCTGGGACCTGTCACATGTCCCAGAAGGGTACGGCAAGGAGGGGAGGAGAACTTCTAGTGGATCGCCGAAGCAATCTGGAGGAAGTGGGAGCGGGTAACTGTCAAAAACAGGTTCCCAGTCTCCCTCCCCCCCAAAAAAGTGCCAAAACAGAAGAGGAGGGGGGAGGAGGGCAAAAAGCAGAACTTCCCCCTTGGGGTGAAGTTCTACTTTAATTTATCCAGTATTTCATTACTTTCTTTTACTAAACAGATATTATTAGACATGCTCAGTTCACTTCGTTCCTAATTGTAATTTGGACAAATTTTTCATTATTCGGAAATCAACAAATCCGAATAGAGTATCTCACCCCCTCTCTCCTTTTCCTGACCCACTCCACTGCATGCTCGGGGGACCCATACGCTGTTTTTTTTATATTCTGCTATCAGTGGGAATCCTGCTGATTCTTTGTTGTTAAGGACGCCGCAGCTGGCAGGCCACCCCGCTCCTTAACGACCAGCTATTTTTCATAATGAATTTGAATGGATTCAATATTTTCGATTTGAATACTTCAAATCTATTGGAAACATTTTGTATCTGGTTGAAAACGAATAAACAAAACAAAACAAAACCAAGTGAGACTTGACAAAGCGCATGCGCGCGAAACATGTTGTCCCAGCAACCGGCCTCTTCCTTCTAAAGCTGCGGCTCCAGCAAGAGTTCCCCCCCTCTGTCTCTCCACATCGTGGTGACGTCATCCAGGACGCTGGGACGTCGGGTAAACGTGGTCCCTGCACTGACAGGCATTCTACTCCACTGCTTCCCTCTGAGCGGACGGGCCGTCCATCTTGGAACCTGGCTTCCTAAAGCCACAGGCTGGTTATTTATTATTGTTTTACCATATGACTTATTAAAGACACACCTCCATACAAGGTGTATTATTTCTATCACAAAACTACACAGCGCCTGGCTCCTGTTCATACTTCACAATTGATAAACATACTTTTTTTTAATATGAAGTTGAAGATCTAAATTGCTCTTTTTAGTTTCTCATGCAGTATTACTTTACCCACATGTTGCTTCCCTTAAATTGATTCTGTGTTTTATTTTATCATACCTAAATCTTAGGCTGATACATGAAGCTGGCACCTAGAACCTTTAGGTTTTGCAGAGAGCTCTAATATGCAAATACTGACTTCCATTCATAAAGATGTTCTTGCTCCTCTCACTCACGAACCTAGTTTTATTGGTTCATCATAGTGATGTGCCAATAATGAGGTATTTGAATAGATCAAAAACAACTTTAGAAACTGAAGACACGATTTGTATATTAGTGCTTCATTCATTATTGGGGAAGGTCTACAAGGCATGTCAATATACATACCTGTCTACAGTTTGTCCTTTAATGTGAACATAGATTAACTTTAAATTAATTATTAAAGAAAGCAGTTTGAAAATGTGTACTTACGTGCTTTCTTAGTCTCAAATTCGGTAGTAGGACTTTTAGGGCCATCCCCTGCACTGTTGAATGCACAAACATCTAGTCTGTAGCGAGTATTGGCCATTAATCCTTCCAGTTTGATGGTTTCTAAGTTTTCAACTTGTAGTCTGTGGGCTGCTGCTTCTTTGTCTTGAGTGCGCCAGTACCGGACCTTTTAAAGGCATTTTTATATTTATTATGGTCAGGAAAAAAATAGTTAAAAATGTTTTTAAGTCAAACATGTATTAAATATTGAATAATAATGTTTAGCAGTTTCCTTTGACATTCTCCAGACATTCAGGCTGCTCCTTTGAAATTAAGCCTGGTGTTTACAATAGCTTAGGCTGAAATGTACACACATATGACTTACTAGAAAGAGTGATTCATTGCAATGACTTATCCATTACTAATGGCTCAGTCCAGAGTCTCAAACATACAAAAGTAGTTAGCATTCGCTATGCCCTCTCTTTAGCTAACCCACAGTGCACAATCATTTGCTATGTATTAAATGCTTATTTAAAAAAAGTAAACATACAGATACTAAAAACAGAAATAAAGAAGCTTGAAAACCCTTTAAACATTAAAACAAAATTAAAATAAAATTTATTTAAAATATTTAAAAGTCCCCCTTTAAGAAATGGAACATTTTTAGGAACTCTTTAAATATTGCACTTTTCTTAACAGCAGTAACATATATGTACTAAACCACCTATTATGCTACATATTTAGAAGGAGCTATGCATTTTTGACAAATCGTGATAGTTGTAACCATCCTGTAGTGTATTTTTTTCCAAAAGGTTCCATGCTTTCATTTGCTGCATGATTGTTCCGTATCAGATGCATCAAAGCCATACAGTCAGATACAGCCAGGCAACCTTTTTAAAATGGTAGCTAGCCTTTGTTTTTCATAAAAAATTGTTATGCCATTAAAAAATGTAGTAAAAATATATTCCTATATATTCTCTATACATTTATATTATTTCTCTTCAAATCGAAATCTGATCTTTTTGAAGTATTTTGCGACTGGACAGAGATTTACTTTGAAGCAAGTCATCTTTAAACAAAGACAGTTGTGTTTCATTCATGAATGACAAGATTGCATTCTCACCTGGTAACCTGTGACAGTTTGTCCAATCACTGGCTGCCAAGACACACTGGCTTCAGAGGAGGACAGCACTACTGCCCTCATACCTGTAGGGTATTCTGTGGGTGCTAGTAAAAGAGAGCAAAGGCAATTACAGTTTTTAGCATTTCCTATGTAAAATGTTAAACTTGTTTCACTTAAAAGACATCTAGTTAAAAGATATCAGCTCATATAGTCATGTTATTATGGCCTCTCCATTAAGGCACAGAGCAACATGTGTTAAACAACAGCAGCAGATTACAATCTTCTGATCAAAGAAATCAAATTTCCATGGGATATTGATTATTTTATTATTTGACTTATTGGACAAGATCATATGTGATCAGAGAAAACAGACAAAGGCTTTTATATCAATTATCGAATTTACATTGAGTGGATTGTTAATCCATTTATTTAGCATTTTAAAACATTTCAACCAAAAATAACTCATACAAATCCTTACATAAAGAATGAAAAGCAAAGTTGGAGATTTGGCTCAGACCAGACTTAAAACAAAAGATTTTGCAGTGCATGTGTTTTGTTTCGGGAAGATCCACACACTCTATGGACATCAAGGAGATGTCTGGTATGCTATCTTACAATGTCTTACAGCCATTTAAACCTCCCTTTCCCACTCTCTGCGATTAGATTCCCAACAGGTGAAATGCACCATAGTGTATGGCCTTGGGTGTGGACTTGTCTAAGCAAACCCTCACCTCATTTCAACCGAAAATAATTCACACTAATCCGTAAGACAAAGATTTGATAGCATTGGACATTGAGATATCTGGTGGCCTTGTTCATAATGTCTTGCAGCCATTTTCAACTTACTTTTCCGCTTCTCTACAGTTAGGTCCTAACTATTGAAACACACAATAGTAGGCAGTGTTGAGCTGGGAATTTGTCACAGCAGACTTGTTGAGCAAGATGTGACGTTATGGGTGGGCTATTTGCTTCTCTCATAGTCTCCCTTTCCCACTACTACAGTCAATCTGGAGGGGTCGGGCCATAACACTGCACATAAATACATACAGTGAATGGTGGTCAGTAGCTGCCTAACTGCACAGGTTCCTGAACTGTACACACAATTTTTTATCTGTACAAACTAGTATGCTACTCTTACTTATCCTTAGTGCCAATGACATCAACATAGCTGCAGAAATGCTTATCCTTAATTATTTTTCTCCTAAATCCTGATCACTCTCAGCCAGACTGCTGAAGCAATTCCTGGAAGAAGCTTACAGGGCTATTAACATTGTTTACACCTAATTATCTTCATTCTCAAATTGGAATTATTTGAACCCTTTCCATGTCATACAGTCAGCAACAGCAGCCTTTGCTATTGCCAATCCATTGGCAGGGTTTTAAATGTTGTGATCTTTTCATTTCCAACTACTAGTGCAGACTTCTGGCTCACTTTGTGTACACCTGTGTATGCATCTGTGAAATAACCACATGGTAGATGAATGCCTCTCTTACATTACTGGAAAATGTTTCTGCTTTTATGTGGTGCAGATGCACATGTAAGCGCAACATATAAAAATAGGATTTATATTAAAAGATTTCTTCCCATTTATTTCCAAACTTTTGGGCCTTTTCATGTCTCCATAGCTATATAAAATTGGCATCCTAAACTGGAACCCCAAGCATGTTTTCCCTTGGGTTAGCTGCATGCTGTTACAGTATCAATAGAATTATTTTGAAGAGATAATATTTTTCAAACTGAGATTTATTTGCATGGCATCCCATATGAAAGAAAAATATATTTGAAATATATTATAAAAATATTCTTCCCAAATATATTGACATACATTTGAAATGCTACAATTTTTGCCATATCCAATATATTTCAAAAAATATATTTCAATAAATATATATATATGTATATTGTATGTTGAAATGCGTTTTTATTACAAAATATACAAAAAATATTTTTTAAAAATACATTTCAAATATACTGTATGTCTTTAAAAATACAAATCTACATTTTTAAATTATATGTTAAAATGACTTTTTTAAATGTTAAAAAAAATCTGAAGAATATATTTTAAAAATATTTAATTCTTAAATATATTCTGCAGATTTTTTGACATATCAAAAAATAATTTTAACCCCTTGGCGCCGGCACCTCCCGACCCTTTAAGGGTTTCAGAAATCGGGAGGAGGGTTGTGGTTTTAGGGTCATGTGACCGCCGTGATTCGCTGTCACGGCAGTCACATGATCGGGAAAGATCCCGATCGAAAGAGGAGATCGGGACCTTTCCGTGAGTACTGGACATGTGTGCTGGGAGAGCGCAGGGCGAGCGCTCTGAGCACATATGTTTTTCTTAATTGCACGCAAATGTGCGGCCGCTCAGCATCAAGGCCCAGATGCCGGGAGGCTGCACATTCACGAAGAGGTTAACATATATTTTTACATATATTTGTAAATGCATTCCAGAAATGTAGATTTGTATTTTTAAAGACATACAGTATATTTGAAATGTATTTTTAAAAATCTTTCATATATTTTGTAATACAGTATATATATTGAATATGGCCTAAATTGTAGCATTTCAAATATATGTCAATATATTTGGGAAGAATATTTTAAAAATATATTTCAAATAAGTTTTTGAAATATGTGGGATAGCAGCCAGAATGAAGAGATACTATCTTTATTTTCTTAAAGATGATTCTCTGGTGATAGTTCTTTTTATATGGTAACCTATGTTCTTTTGTTCATAAGTAAAGGAACAGGTTTTTGATTTACCTTCATCTGCAGAGTAAATGGTAGCAGTGCTACTGAATGGACCTTCTCCCCATCTATTGAAGGCTTGAACCTTTACTTGAAACTGTGTAGCTGGAGTAATAGTATCATCTTTGTGAACATATCGACCACTCTCAGGGTTGGTAACTGTTACTTTTCTCCATTCTCTTTCAGTAAATGGTTTAAATGCAACAATGTATCCAAATCCATCACCATAATGATATTCACTTGCTAAAGGCTGTAGAGAAAAAAAAAAGTTTAGTTGTTGGGTACTAACTTACTTAAAACAATAGGGTTATATACAGTATTTAGTCAGTTTAAACAATAATTATGTCCATTGAGTTAAAAAAAAACTGCATGCACAGAGTTGATCTAGGAGTTGATCTAAATGATGTCAAGAAAATTAAATAAAGCATGGTCCAGGAAAAAAAACTGTTCCTAGTTGCCAAAAGCAATCAGATAACCAACACTGTACAGTGCTGCTTCTTATAATTAGTTGTAGCAAGTTTTATTTATTTTGAGATGGCTAGAAGTAACTCTTAGGGCTCATTTACATTTGCTTCAAAATGTGGCATTGGACACTGAATGCCAATCGAAGCACCTGTCACTAAATAAAATGGCATGCTTACAGTCCTGTTTACACGTTGCGTTTGCTTCACTTCAAAAATTATACCCCATAACACTTTCTTGGTGCTTCAAAACATCTCCAAAGCCTCCATAGAAGTCTAGTACAAAGCTCACAAACAGCACCTGCAGCTTTTGAGGAGCTTTTATTCAGTTATCTTCACTTTTGGAATTATTGGAGGTATTGCAGGTATGAGATATCCCAGGATGCAGTGAGAAACTAACCAGTGAACCAAAAGGATTTCAACAGTCACTTTCAGTTCATATGTATGTATAATCGAAGTGTTTGGTGCAGACATCACACCAGGCGTGCAGCATGGAGCAGCAAGAAGGTAAGAAGGGTCTGGACCAGAGCAGAGCAACTTCGCAGATGGCACACACAGTCTACAACATAGAAATGCTAAAATGGAAGGTGAAAGGGGACCAGAGAGAGAGGACTGAGCGGCAGAGAATCAGCAGAGTTGGGGGACCGGAGCAGAAAAAAAAACTGTTTGTTTCCTTGTTTTTTTCAGAACAGAGAAAGGTATGAAAACCAGCGGCAGCCTGGCAACTCACCCTATAAGAGGATGAGCAAGTAATGGCAGTCTCACAACAGGTGCTGAATTTCTGAAAATAATAGTTGCCTGGCTGTTATGCTCTCTAAGCCAGGGACTTCATAAAAATACACAGATTAGGAAAGTAACTGTCAGATGAAGATCAAAATAGAATGTGGCAACAGCAGAAACTAAGAGCAAAAAGAAAATACTGTGTCATTGACTGCCCAGCATGGAACCTCCTGAATAAATACAGGAGATTTGAGCCCAAGTGACCCTTAAAGGGACCGTTTTTTTTTTTCAATTGGGTCCAGATTAGGAAAAAGGAAGGAGGGCCCCCAGTGGTTCTAAAATGGCGGAGGACCAGGAGAGTGGAGGAAACTAAATGTATTAATCATTATAAGCACATTCAAATTTTCTTAAGGTGAGAGTTCTGTGAGCACTGATGTGGCACAATCTGCATGTTTGCAGCACTTTAAGAGATGGTGATGGTTATATGAGCATGTAAGAAATCCTGAATGGAATTGTGAAGGAAGTTGATGTAAAACTCTATCTAAGTTCACCACTCTAATTCAAATTCCACAGACTTGCTTTTATAGACATTGTGTTTTATCCCATTTATATGATTTATGCACGTTTATATGTATATTTGATGTTTTTTTCTTAATTAATCGGTTGATGATTTAGTATTTATGCTTTATATTAGCAGCATTAAGTTTATTTGTTTAGATATAAGGCACTGTTGCCTTTGATTGCTAAGGGATTTGGAGCAAGAGTTGGTGATGTCACTACTGTGCTGCTCATTATTCTCCTTGCTAAAGGCTCTGACATGAGGAAGCAAAACTCTACTAAGACGGCCACCTCCACACAGAGATACTGCAGAACAAGAATGGTAAGTAGGTAGTGATTAACGGATCAAAGGATTGGTGATTCTTGTTCAAAATTCGTCAAATCCAAACTCAGAGGTGAATTCCTTTTGAATCTTGTTAAATTGTAGCCAATTTTAGGGCATATAGCAAACTGCTGTCAAAAACAGTACAAAAAGCTGAGCACTACCATGAAAGCACATGTACCAGTGCAAAAAAAAAAACAAAAAACAAAAAAAACACTGTATTTTAAAAACATACAATGGGAAGAGGTTCTTTCATGCAACTTCAATGGACAACATTAAAAACTCACAAGTAATTAAAAAACATGCTTGAGGGATGCCTTAAAACTGTACGTGGTGTTTCAGAAACATATGATTTTTATGTGCAGTCTCAGTGACGGTGTACACTGACAGCGGGGGTGAGGCCACAACTGGTGCTGACATTCTGAAGGTGCCACACAACAGTCTCTTTTTGTGTTGCACAGCACTGGCGTGCACATGGGATTTGCACTGCAGTGCCACTTCTGCTCACTATACAGTGGCAGTTCAGAGCACCTTCTTTGCTCTGGTCACATGACACAGTTGAGGGAATGACCTCCCCAGCTTCTTATTTGCTAATGCATCTTGTAATTTGAAGGATGAGATTTGTACTGTATGGAGCTCTGTGATGGGGTAGGCTGGAAGAAGGCATCTGTACCTGGAAAGGCGGGTGTGAGCTAAGAGGGTAGGCTAGGATAGGGGGGTCTGTACTGAGGGATTAGGCTAGGAAGGGGGTATGTACTGAGGGGGATTGGCTGGGCCTTCCCCATTGATATGCTAAAGAATCTGTTGAACTGGTTCATGAAGCTCAGCCTACAGGAAATGATGTAGGCAGAAAGTCAATGGAGGGGAAAAGGACTTTGAACACGCCATGTGCTCTGGAATAAAGGAACAGTTGTTTTCAGGATTTCATAGAAGCAAGAAGCCATCTGAGAGAGATACTGGAAAATGACTCCATCATAAAGGAACACCTAAGTAAAGTAACTGTTTGGTGTATGCCTATCACATACATTGTACAAGTTTGTTTGCTAGGAAGATAGTTAGCTTCTGCATGCTGCAGGCATATTTTGTGATACTTTGTATGGTATGATTTTTTTTCCTGCGTTGTATGTGCAGCATTTCTGTTTGGGAAAGCATAATAATACATTACAGAGTTTTTTTCTTTTTTTGGCTTTATTGCAAGGTGACCTGAAACAAAGTGAAACACTACTCTCACAATTTGGCACTATGAGCTGCGTTGCCACTTTATTGCTTCAAACTCTTTTTTTTGGGGTAGGGTGGGGTGGGGTGTTAAGTTCCTCAGTGCCAGATATTATAGGACTGGCAGTGCATATTTAGCTGTAATATTTATTTTACTTTATAATTAGCTTGGCATACATAATGCAGCAGCACCCCAATCTAATTCATATTGGTATGAAAAAATGTGTCTGCTGCTGACCAATTTATGAGAAGCTCTCAACAGGAATGATAAAGCTGCAGATGATACAGCAGTTGGCCAACAGCAGGACATTTTTAATTAGTGACATTAAGCCTAACTGGTGTATGCCTAACTTTTATTTTACCTATGGTAATGGCTTTTCCCTCTTTTCAAATGATGCAGCCACGTGCTGTAAACAAAAGGCAGCTTAAAATACAGATGGTCAGTAACAAGTGAATGCTCTGTTTTAAGCACCCCAAAGTTAATAAAAGACCTATCAGCATAAAATTAAAAAATTAAAAAAGAAACAAAACCCCCCAAATACCATGTCTGAAACAAAAGATCCTTTAAACAAAATTTTGCTATGCATAGAACAGCAGCTAAATGTGACCTCTGACCTCAAATCAGCCTAAAAATAAAAGACTAAAAAGCCACCAAGAGTAAGAACATACATTTTTTTTGACCAAAGAGTTAGCAATCAGAATCTCTCTCTGTGCAGTTTGTCAGCTTTCCCTACAATAGTTTCCTAAATCACTTACGCTAGGGCTTCCCCTTTTATAGTGAATGGGCTGGCTTATTCAAAAGCTTGATCATTGTCCCTTTTAATCCTGCTGGACATGGTTCAAATGCCATACATTGCATTATGGTTTCAGAAAACTTTCCCCAAAAATACTTGCAGAAAATGTTTCCTAAGACTTCAAACCCAGAACCCGCAGTATTCACCTTTACCCCATGACAGCAATGAACCAGAACTACAACCCTATAGTCAGTTATAGGGAAAAGAACAGCAGGGAAACCATAGGCAATACTAGTGACAAGTCTTTTGCCATCTGCCTTCTATTTTTTTTTACAGTGCTTCTGGACAATAGTGCATTATATTCATCAGAAGGGAAGATTAAAGGCTTTGATTTGGTCTTGTAACATGAGCCTGTAAAATCCTTATTAGAATGATATTGCTCACACATTCAAAGTGGTTAGAAAGATTTGAAGCTAATGCATTCTCCTTTGCAGTGTTAGAATAGTTCATGTATACTCACTGTCCATGTCACTGTAAGCTCTCGATTAGTTCCACCTCCGCCCCCAACATCTGAAGGAGCATATTTTGGAGCTGTAATACAACCCACGCAGTTAGTATTCAGGCAACTTTAACATGGTATCATTAAAAACAAATAGTTTATTAGATCACACTAATATCAATAGCTCAATTGACCTTGTTGCCATAGAAAAAGCAAGCCACGTCTGCCAAATATGACTCTAATTTGTAGCTTAGGATGCTAATCAGTAAGGACCCTTTCATATTGCTATATATAAACAGAGCTATCACTATAGAACAACTTTAAAAGCAAGCAATACCTGTAAAAGAAGGCAGGTACTTTTCCTGCCACCCACACCACCCGACACTGCTCTGATGCTGGGAACTTTTCTGCCTAAAGTTCAAAAGGAAACCAGTGTTTCCAGGAGTCTTCACAGCTCTCTAGATTCTGCATCTGTTTTCATAGGATGCAGTTGTAACGTGGTGTTGCATTGTAGCAACATTCAGCAGCATGGGCAGCAGGAAAGGTAATTACTGTATGTCCTATCTTCTTTTACAGTTATGGCTTGCTTTTAAAGTTTTTCAAAAGTGACAGGATCACTTCAAAGGTGAAGTCCATGTAATTTTCACACTTGGACCAATGTAAGTATGTATGCGACATAAGTGTGAGATTCCCCCCAAAGATGAATATTACTTTAGTAGGTACCACTACTACAGTGATCTCCACTGTTGTGTCCTGTGCTGAAAGACTGCACCTTTTCTTACTGAACTCAGGAGGTCTTCCGTTTGACACAGGCACCATTCAAAGAACACTTTGCACTTTCTCAAGGATTGCAAAGGGTTCTCAGATTGTGATATCATCACTCCCCACCTCTCCACCTCCTTCAGAGAACACTTTGCATTCAATGTGCAATGCAAAGTGTTCCCAGAATGGTGCCTGTGCTGAGTGCCGATTTTCAGCTTCCAGTGTTCACTAAGCAAAAGTGCAGTCACTTGGCATGGGACCCAAAAGCCAGTTGAGATCACCATAGTAGGCATAGCTTCCAGGTGGATCTCACAGGTAAGGCATGTACATAATTGCTATACCTGGAATTCTTAAATATATACTGGTTGCTGGAAATTTCAAATCTGTACAAAAATAGGGACTTTGCTTCAGCTCTTTTTGTACAGAAATATGAAGTCGTCCTGACTGGTTAGCATCCCAAAGGCACAAGTCAGAGCTTGGGTTTATCAGCAACACCAACAGGAAGAAAGGTCAGCCGCACCCTGGAGGATTGATGAATATAGTGTATAGTTATGATCCATAGGACACACAAAACACCAGGACGTGAATATAGGACCTGTTATCACTTTTACATGATTTGGCCCTCTAATGCAGCTCATTGCACTTTTGCTGATATTACAATTTTTTTTTTTTTTTTACAGGAAAGTGGAGTGGTTCTGATTACTAAAGCAGAAGCATTAGTGTCCAAACACAACTGGTTATGAAAGGAGCCTATATGCCTAATCAGCCAATGAACCTTTTCCGGAATCCAGAAATACCTGCAGATTTTTAACACTTTAAAATATAACACACTTTTTATGGCTACACAGTTTATGTACTATGCAGTGCACTTACCAGCTCCGTATGTTTTAATTTTTGGTGATGGCAAACTAGGCTCACCAATTCCTAATGTATTGGTTGCTATTACACGAAATTCATAATCCATCCATGGAATTAAGTCTATTACCCTCGCTGCCTCCATGTTTCCTTCAATATTAGGAATCTCTAAATGAGGAAACAAACATTACTGTATGGGTAACAACATAAAATCATGTACTCTTTTTGATGTGAACAGAATTAAATTTTTTTTTCCTAGCACTCACCTATGATAGAAAGCACATAAAATGAAAAGCATCAGTAACAACATTTAAAAAAATAATCACAATACACTGTGAAGCAAATCTGAACGTTACAGCATGAAATGTAAAAAGGTTCACTCAACCTATCCTGGGTTTCAGCTTTATATTCACTTACTGTTGCAGTGCTCCCCACTTTAAACATCATCATGTCCATCACTGGCCAAGTCTCAAAATACCAACCAAACTATTCTCTTTCTTCCTCCCAAGACCTCTTGCTCTATAGCTCCCTCTTCACCTCCTTTCACGCTTGCTTCCAGTACTTCTCCAGAGCCATCCTCTCAAATTCCTTACCACAATCAGTTGCACTCCTACTCTATCTACCTTCGCGTGATCCCTAAGAAAACAATCTTATTAGAGAAGCCTATCTTGTCTCCACCTAACAAATATAATATTTTTTTATTTTCTCTATCAGCTCTTCCTCCATGGTTATTACCATTTGTATCACTTAATCCTCCCTTGTAGATTGTAAGGTAATGAACAACACGCTCTGAATTCTCCTATATTGAATTGTATTGTAACTGTACTGTCTGCCCTCACTCTGTAAAGTGCTGCACAAACTGTTGGGGTTATATAAATCCTGTGTGATAATAATTGTAGCAATAATACTGTCCTTAATTTCAGAATGTAAGGGTATTCCTGACTACACCCTTATCAGCCACCTTCTGTTTTGTTTTATTCATAGTGCACAGTCCCCGCCCTATTTCTTTCTACTCCATGCTGACTCTGTTCTAATCCCAAATATCCTATTCTTTTCAATGAAGCTCTGTTGTGCTCCTCTGTGCTGCTAAATTTTGCCCTGTAGCATTCCTGCCTTCCATGCCCTCTGCCATAATGTCCCACTTTCCATGCAATAAGTTGATTAAGGGAAACCTCTGCAGAGGGTCTAAGGCAGATTATCTCAGCCTTTTTTTAACACAGATGAACCCTTGAAATAACTTTTTTTGGTCTCAAGGAGCCCCTTCTAAAAATTACTATATCTACAACTCATGATGCATTAGTATGTTGGTCAGTGGGAAGAATGCTCCTTACACTTGTGGTCGTTGGGAAGAATTACCCCCTTAAAAGATAGCTAAAAAGATCAATGGTGTCAGTGGGAACTTATTTAAGAGGCAGAAATTTATCTTTTCTCAAGGAACCCCTAACAACCTCTGGGGGAACTCTGGGATTCTGTGGAACCCTGGTTGAGAAACCCTGGTGTAGGGTTTATACTATGTTAAAGTGATTAGACATCCTGCAGTAATACACATAAACATAAAAAAATCATTACAAACCTGTTTTCACATCCTTCCATTCATCTAACAATGCATTCCTAGCCTTCCATTCTTCTGACAATGAACTCCTAGCTTGAATAGTATATTTAGAAATTGGCTGGTGATTGTCTGTTCCACTACTCCATGTAAGTTTCACAGATGTGTCTTTTATTTCTTCTGCCCTAACACCACCAGGAGGACCTGGAGGACCTAGCAAAGAAAACAAAATTACTCCAGTACAACAGTAAGTAGTGCAGATCAGCTAATATAGCAATGTAAATGCTATTATTTGCAAAGAATGAAAAATAATTCCAACAATTGATATTTGTGTTGCAAAAATAACTAGAAAAGCTACAAATTCTGGGAAAATTGTGTGAAGTGTTCTTCCTTCCACCAGTAGTCTACAACTGGAGTGGGCCGAGTAACTGGGTGGAGTGGCTTGAGTAACTGTTGTGTGCTTGGAGTGGCTGGAGTAACTGTGAAAAGGTTGGACTGGGCAGAGTAACTGTGTGGAGTGTTTGGAGTGAGTAAAGATAGTAAACATTACACTAATCGATTGAAAAGTGCACATGGCAAGCTTGATAGAGTAAGAAATGCATTTCAACTTTTATTTTTCAGCTCACACTCTAGCTTTTGTCACTCTGCTGCCTGCTCACACACCTGGGTTCCTATAGCAACTCACTCTACAGCAAGGGCAGAGAAGAGCGGTTAAAAACAAACTGTTCCAACTTTCTCACTTCACTGGCAGTTGCCATCTTCAAATGGTTGTAGTTTAAAAATTATAAATCCTACAGCGAAGAGCTTTATATTGTGAGAATCACAAGACCCAGACCTACATGTTGATGCATAGTATGTTTCTGAAATATTAAAAATGAAGGCACAGTCGCAGTTTAGAAATTGTCCTTCAAATTTGACGTGGCTAGAGTGCAGTTTCAATGAATGTCAATGGGCGGCGTGAGTTGCAAACAAATGGTCATATTGTGAAAACTATCAGGACTATGGCTTAGCTGTGGACATTTTTAGTGGCAGCAGGGATAGCTGAACGTTTTGATATAAGATTTGTGTAGGTGGGCTTGAAAATGAGGGAGTGATGGCAGTTTAGAAATCATGTCCTGATTTTTCAGCTCACACTCTAGCTTTTGTCAGCTCCCACTCTAGTTTTGAACATTCCGCCATTCATTCCTATGGGACCAATTTCACCACAAAAACGGCAATATTTCGTGAACCATTCGGCAAAACGTTCCACAAAGTAATAGCACACCAATCGGGAACAATCCGCACGTTTCGGTATATTACGGTCTATGTAGTGTAAAAACTGTGGGAGGAGGTAGGGTGGTAAATATGGCTATAATAATAAGAATATATATGTGAGATAACAGTAAGTGGTCTTGCCATGCAAGAACACTTAATAAGCATGTAAATATATTTCTGTTGCTGGCATAGATATATATACAATTCTCATGTTCTGACAACTGTGTATTTCCCAGCTCTTTCTGTCTCTTTGGCAATGTCAACTGGGAGAAATAGAGAGAATGAATTCCCCCAGCAATACAAACCTGACAGATGATCTAACCCACTACTTTTCAAACAAAAACTTAAAAAAAAAGGTTATGGGTTTTATATATATATATATATATATATATATTTTAAAGTACAACTAAATGCAAAACCTTTTAACCTCTTCACGCCAGCCGCATGCAAATGTGTGACCGCCTTGATGCCTAGCGGTCGCACATTTGCGTGCAATTAAGAAAAACATATTTGATGAGAGCGCACGCCCTGCACGCTCCCAGCACACATCCGGTACTCGCAGAAAGGTCCCAATCTCCTCTTATGATCGGGACCTTTCCCAATCATGTGACCGCCGTGACTGCGAATCACGGCGGTCACATGACCTTAAACCCCCGCCCCGCCTCCCGGTTTCTGAAACCCTTAAAGGGTTGGCAGGTGCTGGCGCCAAGGGGTTAAGCTATAGTGTGGATGGATTAGAACACCCCTCAGTTTATATTGCTGTCTATGCCCCCATTAGGGAGATTCTCCCTCTCTATTTGTCCTGTTTACCATTATCATTGAAAGTAAAAGAAAATCCCAAATTTTGGGTTGTCCCCCAGAAAAGTAATAGAGGGGAATTCTTCCAATGTGGACACTAGTTCTGGTGATATGGGATCCCCAGGGGATTACCTTAATTTGCAGGGATTTCCTCTCACTTCCTGTTTTGGTTAAAGGACAGAAAGTGAAGCAAAATCTCCCTAATGGGACACAGATGGCAAAAAAATAAACTGTCAGGGATTATAACTCTCAGTTACTGTATCGAAAATGTTGAAAAAAATATGTTTTGCCTATAGTTCTACTTTAAGTAGAAATTCTGAATAATACACAAATAAAAGGCCGTTCTCATGCTTATGCACAGCAATGGTTACCTCTGACTACTAGGTCAGCTGAAGCAGAAGAGTTGTCCACAATGGTCTGTGCAATACAAGTATATCTTCCAGCATGTTTGAGTTGTGCATTTTTGATAAGGAGCTCACTACCAACATCACTCTGTTAAAAAAGAAGGTTTGTAGGCACTTTAGTTAATAAAAGACATCTGCAGCTTTGTCTGTGCTTAAATAATTCATTGTTAGTCAGCAATCTAAGACAGTGCTTTTGCATATACCCCTTATTAAGCATGGTGAATTGTAAAATAAATCACAGATCACCTTTGCATGCACACTATATAAACAATACATAAAATGAGGCCTCAAATGACTTAAGCCTTTTTTTCTGCAATATTTCTTCATCTAAAGAAACATGACTTAGCTTCTTATAAACTACTTGGATGCTAAAGATCCTTCCATATATAGGAATTAGCAAAATGCAAAGCTAAACTGCATTTTGCAGTTTCAAGGGTTTATACCTAAACAATGGTCTATTTCTTGCAGGAATCTTTATTGAATTTAGAAATAATCACTGTACCAGGGGTGATTTGACCTATATTTCTTCTGTTTGTCAGATGCAAACATTTGAAAATTTCACTAATGAATGGCAAACGTCCCAGTGGATTGCCCAATATACAGTACCTCCATACTGCCTTTCAGCAAAAGACTATCATCATCATCATGACTTCAAAAGATGAAAATAGCTAATTTTTACTTTACATATGGATAGCTGGGTGTAGAACAGATGAAAGAAAACCACAAAGGTTTTTATCATATTTATTTACTGTATATAAAAATGGTGAATCACAAATACGCAAGCTAGCTTCAACTAGTGAATGTCGATGTTCCACATTTAGGAGACACAATTTTTCTTTTAACTGAACCAATAATTATTATCTGCCCACTTTTCTGAAAATCCATAACTAGCCACTTCTGAATTAATGTTGAGTATGTTTACAAACTGCAGTTTAGAAATTGAAGCTGTGATTTTCAAAGTCAAAGTAATTAAAGTCACCTCAAATAATTAAGACATATTAATTAACACCAGCAATAAAGACTAAACAGGAACAGATATCAGACTACAGAAACTGCCAGGCCTTCAGCTCTTTGATTACTCAGATGTTTAAGAGTTGAGCAATGTGTTAAGTCATTAGAGATGATTCTGGCATCCAGTGCACTAACCATACCAATTATAGCTGTGAAGTAGTTGTGCCTTTGGTCGTTTTGCTTTAGGAAACTAGCACATCACAACATGCTGGTAGCACGTATGAATTCAGTAAAAACAACTCTGAAGATGGACAAAAAGCATATGCATTTTTTAGCTGACAGACTCTATTGTTAAAATGTACGGTTTAACGAACAGCCATGACGCAATTAGAAGAAATGTACAAAATAAAAGTCAATTTTAAGCATTGCAGTAAGAGAAAATACAGGCAATATAATTATCTATGGTAGAAAGACAATCGAGCATTGCATACGCAGGCTTCAGAAGTGTGTACAGTACTAGAAAACATTTGTAAAAATTTCAGCAAGCTGCAAAAAGCTTTTTTGAAACCTTTAAAAGGCAACCTTTAGGTACAGTTGGCGACTTCCCCAGACACTGCGCGGTACCAGTACATCAAGATGCTTGTGTGCGCTACGCATGCTCCCTGACGTGCCCCCTACTGGACACAGCAGATTGTGGTATCAGTTTCAGGCTGGTGTTAGTGGCCCAGATACCACATGATCACTGTGCGATCACATGTCACCTAGTAAACAAGATGCATTAATGGGATCCCTTCAGGACATCATTAGTACCTGGGCCAATCAACGACCAGCCTGTGCCATGTGATTGCTGTGAGCCAAAAACAAGAGACATGAATGGGATCCCTTCATGACATCATTGTTTATTACTTTGCGTGATTTGTGATTGGTCACCAGTGATCACATGGTACCTGGGCCAATCAAAGCAATCGCAAGTGTAAAAAAAAACAAAAAACTGATCACCCCACAGAGTAGTACAGTACAGTTACAAGCAATCTGATCACCCCACGTGTACAAAAAGAAAACCCTGATCGCTGCCACACCAGTCATATGATGAAGCTGTACCGCGCTGGTGACACTATGTAAAAAAATTAAAATGTAGACAAAATGTTTTATTTCATTTCTTCATTTTCCTAAAAAAAGTGACAACTTGAAAAAACTTGCCATGACTCTTATTAAATACTTTGGACTGTCTACTTTCCAAAAAAGGGTAATTTGGGGGGTATTTGTACTGCCCTGGCATTTTAAAGGCCTCAAGGAGTGAACTAGGCCGTCAGTACATCTGAATTGATCAATTTTCAAATATATATACCATAGTTTGTACACACTAAAACTTTCACACAGATTAGATAATATTGGGACTTTTCAGACTTTGGCCTAAATTTATGAAGAAAGATTAACCACTTGCCGACCGGGATGCACCCACCTTGCCAGCAGTGCACCCTCCTGTGCCCAGGTGCACCCACCTGTGCAGTGCCACACACCTGTGCTCAGAAGTGCCACCTACCTGGCCCAGCATCACCCACCTGTGCCCACCCACATGTGCCCACCAGTGCCACCTACCTGTGCCCACAAGTGCCACCCACCAGTGCCCATCAGTGCAGCCCAGCAGTGCTGCCAGTCAGTGCCACCAGTCAGTGCCCAGTGGTTGTGCCAGTCAGTGCCCAGCAGTTTAGTCAATGCCTAGCAGTGCTGCCAGTCAGTGCCCAGCAGTGATGCCAGTCAGTGCCACCTATCAGTGCTGTCTGTCAGTGCCGCCTATCCGTGACACCTCATTAGTGCCGCCTATCCGTGCCACCTCATTAGTGCTGCCTATCAGTGCCGCCTATCAGTGCCCATCAGTGCTATCAGTGACCAGCAGTGCTGCCTATTAGTTCCCATCTGCTGCCTATCAACGCACATTAGTGAAGGAGAAAAATTACCTGTTTTAAAAATGTTATAATAGAAACAAAAGAAACTTTTTTTTTCAAATTTTTTTGCACTTTTTTTGTTTATAGCGCAAAAAATAAAGTGCCCAGCAGCGATTAAATACCACCAAAAGAAAGCTCTATTTGTGAGAAAAAAAAATGATTTCATATGGGTACAATCTTATATGACTAAATCGTCAATCAAAGTTGACAGCGTTGAAAGCTGAAAATTGGCCTGGTAAAGAAGGGGGTATAAGTGCCCTGTAGGCAAGTGGTTAATTGATTTGCAAAATTTTATACCAGAAAAATGTGGGGTTTTTTACAAATTTTCTCTATTTTTTCATTTGTATAGCAAAAAATAAAAGAACCCAGTGCTGAACAAATACCACCAATAAAGCTTGATTTGTGTGAAAATTTTTTTATAAAGTTCATTTGGGTACAGTGTTTGCATGCCCGAATAATTCTCTTTTAAAGTAGCAAAGTGCTGAACATGCCCTTGGTCATGAAGGGAGTAGTAAAACCTTCCAGAGGTCAAGTGGTATTAAAGGGAATGTAAACCCTAAGGCCTTGTTTACACCACTGCTGCAAAGGCAGCAGAGGGGCTGTACATATGCCACGACCTTAATGCTTTGCCTCATGGCCAGAATGCTTTGCATTGCACCGAGAAAAAAAATTATCCTCATTCTGCAGGCAGTACCACCTGGAAAAAGTGACTATTAAACTGAATAGGGGCACCCCATGACAGCAGCGTGCTGATGCAAGATTTAATGGGTTAAAACAGGTGGTGAGGAAGGTATAACACCTCTCAGTGCCTCTCAAATAAATCGCATGTAATAAACAAGATATAACAATGATGCCTTCTGATTTGGTCTGTTAAATATACCATTGTAAGCATTTTTGTTATATCTGTTAAGTGCAAAAATATACCTGTTTATTGTTTTCCCTGTATTCTGTGCAAAATTGCTCTGCTAACCACTTGCCAACCACAAATACAGCTACAGTGCGGTCATCCAGTTCTGGGAGAGCGTCCATGGACATCCTCCCAGAACTCTTGCGCACTGCCAGGGGCACATATCGGGCACACCCTGTGACTGCTGTCTCCTTCGGACACAACTGATTTAACCACTTGCGCTCCTGAGGATTTACCCCCTTTCATGACCAGGCCATTTTGTGCGTTATGGCGCTGCGCTACTTTAACTGACAATTGGCGGTCATGCAACATTGAACCCAAATTAAATTGATTTTTTTCCCATGAACTGAGCTTTCTTTCGGTGTATTTGATCACCTGTGCGTTTTTAACTTTTGTGCTATAAGCAAAAAAATACTGACAATTTTGACAAAAAAACAATATTTTGGACTCTGAAATAAAACATGTCTAGTAAAAAAAGTAAAAAAAAATCAAATTTCGTCATAAGTTTAGGCTAAAAAAAAAAATCTCAATATGTGTAAATTAATTGGTTTATGTGAAAATTATAGCGTCTACAAATGGCGGTATAGATTATGGTATTTTTTTTCTTTGCTACTAGTAATGGCGGTGATCAGCAACTTTTAGCGGGACTGCGGCGGACATTCTGACACTGGGAGGAACTAACTTGGTGTCACTGACATCTACAGTGACACCAATACAGTGATCAATGCTAAAAAAAAACACTGCCACTGTACTAATGGCACTGGGCAGGAAGGGGTTAATGTGCGGAGCGATCAAAGGGTTAACTATGTGCTGGGAGTGTTTTACTAGGGGGCGGGGAATGTGTGCTTCACTGTAAGCACACTGATAGGGAGGGCTGTACTGTGCACAGCCATCCCGAGCAGTGAGCTTGAGCTGACAGGAAGGAAGCTGGTTTGTAAACAAAACAATCTTCCTCCCCATCGGAGATGCTCGGTAATCATCGGGCACCGGCGGGTAATTACCGGCCGGGACCTGGTGATTGACATTTTGCGGTGACGAATGACGGCGCGGGTAGGGTTCGTGCATGCCCCCTACCCAAAAATGCATAATCAGGTATATATACAGTATAAGTGATTTTGCGCACAGGTGCCACCCTGTAGCAGTATGTCTGCTATAGGGTGGTCCTTAAGCAGTTAAAGATTGGGGTAAAGGGCCATGTGATCAGCTGTATCCAATCACAGCTGATCACATGTAAACAGAACCGGTAACTGGCAAGCCTGTCAGTACATTCTTTAACCTGATAAT